CATCACATTTTGCGAAACACATGGGTTTCCCATCAAGGTGTTGTTTTATCACCTGGGCATGAACTGTTAGTAGTAATTTTTGGTGCAATTATAGTATTTAGAAATGGATTCTCTAATAAACTACATGGTGAACTTGTTCCAAACTCTGTTCATATTTGGGATCCAAAAATTAAACCTCCAGAAATAGAGGTCAGAAAAGAAACAATACTGAAGAATGGAATAATATTCCCGATGTCATTAAGAATGCCAATATTATTCCAAACCAGGTAGATTATCACAGAAACTTTAATGCAGAAATATTTGAGAATCTTTTTACAACTCTGTGTAAAAATCTTCATGCAAATTATGGGTCAGTAATCATAAACAGCAAGTAGAAATATTCTGATTTCAAGTGCAAAAAACAAGAAATAGTTGACTGGTTAAATGCACATGATATTTCTTTTTCTGGTGAATTAAGAAAGGCGAAACTTTTGAAACTAGTGCAAATGAATAAGGAAAAGTTCCTTTTTCTTGTGTTAAAATAGCAGAACAATACGAACATGAAATTAATTTTACCCCTTTATATCATTGTGTACTTTAACCTATCAAAGGTATTTGGTCAGTAATAAAGGGTGAAGTTGCACATTCAGGTTCACATCCAAACCTTTTATCTATTCGAAATAAACTATTAGATGCATTTAAATACAAAATTACCTCACAAGTTATTATCGGACTTTGAAGAAGAGCGTTAAACAATGCTAAGGAATATTTTGCATCTGACGAAAATGCACAATTAATTGACGATAAATTTGATGATTATAGTAGTTCTGATGATGATCATGTGATTTGATTCAATTTTTACGTTTTTATACTTTCCGATACATATTAATATTGTTTAAATAAAAAAGAAAAAGTTTATTTAATAAAATTTTTTTATTGGTGGTTTTTTTCAGTGTACAAAATGTTTTTGTACTGGACTATAATAACAAATTAATTATTTATTAAATAAATAAATTATATTAAATATATTTTATATTTAAATAAATTAAATATATCTAATATATCAAACATGTTAACTATAAAGAATACCTAAAAGTTTTTTAAAACTATCTTTGATATCATATTTATCAAAACTTACTAATTAGAATTAAACTAAAATTTAATTTATATTAGATATAATCTCAGGCTAAAACATATAAATATTTTAGATAATTTAAATCACTAGATATTGGAATATTAATATAATTAACAAAAAAGAATTAATTTTAATTACAGTTTTTTTTTAAAGTTTTTAAATAATGATAAATTAATTTTTTTAATATCTAATAATTTAAATATATAGTATAATAAATAAAATAATATATTTATAATTTTGAATTATTAGTTGTTAAGATTTTTATATAAATTTGATATAAACAATATATTAAAATAACATAAAATATTAAAGTTTTAAAACATTATTTTTTATATTAATTATCTTACTAACTAGTGATTTAAAATAACTCAAATTTTGATATATTAAAAATATATTATTGATTTATTATATATTTAAATTTTATTTAATTTAAATCATTAAATTTTAAGAAAATTAGTTTAATATTATTTATATTTTAATAATTATATTAATATCTCAATATCTAGTATCTAGTAATTCAAATTATTTAAAATATTTATATGTTATATTCTGAGATTATATCTAATATACAGTATTAAAGATGGTACAGCAATTGATTTCAAATTTACAAAATGTTGCAACATATTAATTACAGTTCCCATCTTTATACAGTATATTAAATTTTGGTCTAATTCTAATCAGTGAGTTGTGAATATGATGTTAAAGATGACATTTGAAAATTTTTGAATACCCTCTGTATATAACAATGTTAATATTTTTAATATTATATATATAGATTATTTTGTAGATTGTTTAGTAAATCAATTTTGTAAATTAATTATGTAGATTATTTTGTAAATCTGTTGGTAATACTTTTGATCATATGATTTGCAATACCTTATTTTTATATGAATAACAATAATAATTTTTATAATTCACTATTTTCAAATTATAATAATGTATATATGATATATATGATATTAATATTTTAGCATGATTTAAATTTTATTTCAGCTTTTCTTTTATATAATAATCTAAAACTTATTGTATTTCTTTAATTTCTTTTTAAGTAAATCATATACTGTTAAATTTATAGAATTAGCATATTTAATTATTTTTATATGCTTAACTAAAGTTATTTTCTTTATAAATTATTTTATAAATATCAAATTTAAATTAGTTATAAATTAAAAACATTATTTGAGATAAATTAATATATATATATATGATATTTTTGGTATTAATTTTTATAAAAGAGTTTTTTAAAATTTTATATTTAGAAAAAAACTATTAATTTTATATAATATTATATTAATAATAAATTTTCTTGTTTATTTACTTAAAATTTATTAATTAAATCATTATTTTATTAATAGGCTACTTAGTATTATTATATATTAAAATATTTTATTCATGAGTTTTTTTATAAAAATTAAAGTTTTGAAGATCAGTAAATATTTCTAAGCCATTAGCTTTTATGATTTATATTATATTAAAAATATATGAACATATAATTAGATATAAGTTTTCTAATCAAATAATATGATATATGGGAGCTTTGCAATAGAAAGGAAGGAAACTTTAAAAAAATTTTTTTTTAAGTTAATGTTAAATCTGAACTTATTTTACAAAAAAAATTATAATTAGCTTAGAAAGTAAAATTTTAATTTTTTTAGAGTTTTCTCCCTTTCTATTGCAAAGCTTCCATAAATAAATATAAACAATTTAATATAAAGTAAAAAATTTCTAATATATAAAAAGTTATATAGATCTTTGTAATAGAAAAAAAAAACTGCTAGAAAAAAATAAAAATGAGTTAATGTAAAATTTGAATATATTTTACCTGAAAATTATATTTGGTATATAAAAGTAAAATTGATTTTTCTCAGCAGTTTTCCACTTTTTCTATTACAAAAACTTTAAAAACTTTATATATATAAAATAATTTTTTATATATTAAATTTTAATAACAATAAGCTTAATATAATGATTAGTATTTAATATTATTTATTATAAATATATTTATAATAGAAAAGAAAAAAAACGTTAAAAATATAATTTTTAAATTAATATTTAATTTTTAGTTTTATTTATTAAAAACTTTTATATTTAATATAAATTAATTTTACTTATAATTTTTTTCTTTATTGATAAAATACTTATTTAGAAATTATTATTTTATATTAAATTATTACTTGGCTTAATTTAATATTAAAATTTAATATAATATCAGTATAAATTTTAATTAAACAATAATATAATATAGTTTTGTAATATTAATTTAATATTATATTATTTTAATATAAGTTAATATTAAAATTTCAAAATTTGTGCTAATTAAATATTAAAAATCATCTTATATATATTAAATTTTATTATAGAAATTTTTTTATATATATATCTTATTTTTAAAAAGTCAATTATTATATAAAATTAAATTAATAATCAATATTTTAAATAATTAATAATCATTTTTAATCATAAAATAATTAATAAATTTTATTTATATTATAGAAGTAACAAATAAATGTATATTAGAAAATAAAAATTTAATGCAACTAAATTTTAAAAATATACTCAACAATTATTATTATAATACATTTTTTTAAAAAAATAATTTATTAATAAAACTATTATTTAAAAGATCGAAATTATTAAATAAACTAACTAAAATGGTATTACATATCACGTGATACAATACTTTACTAACCAACCATGTGTAAATAATAGAAATGATAAGCTTTATCGCCAAATAACTTGACATATGAAGATTTAAGTATTATTTTGTAATTTGTCTTGACAAAAATATCTATTGATAAGCGTTAATTTATCGGAATAAAGGTCGGTCAAAAAATTTAGTTAAAATTTAGCGTGTGAATAAGAAAAAATTTTTTACCGACCTACAAAAATGATTCTAACAAAAACAAATTTAAGTTTAATCTTTCTAAAAAAGAGTTCAAAAGAAAGATAATAAATAATGCAGGACCCAAATATGATAAACCTTATGATTGCCTAATAACAAAGATACCAAAGTAAAAACAACAACATGAAGGTCAACCGATGATTGAGGCTAAGCATTTTTATAACACCACATTTTAAAGTTTCGACGTTTCAGTAAAAAAAATTATTTTATTCATAGGAAAAAAAAAAAAATAAAAAAAAACCTGAAATATTCTTGTTATGCATAACTAAAAACAAGAAAAGTGATTAACTTGAAAAAAAATGAGAAATAAACAAATTTTTTTTTTTTTTACACAATATATGTATCTTATGTATTCAATACTATCGCTATATATGTATGTCATATTGTATCATATTATATCGTACAATACATACTGTGTATTATTCATCACTCTTAGGTGATGTTAATGATCCGACTCGGTTCGGTCTTTGACCGAAGGAGATCTTTAAGATCGATTTTTTAGACCGATCTTTAGACCGTCGATCTTTTAAATTCATAATAATTTAGAAATAACGATAACTTAGCATTAAATATTTACGAAATGAATAAAAAATTTATTTTAATTCACTAAGAAGCGTCAAAAACAGGAGGAAATCTTAACAATTTTTAACAGAAATCTAATAGATTTTAAGCGTTATCACGTGAACTTGTTAATTTTTTTTTAATATTTTATTGTTTATTTTAATGAAGTACTATAAACGCACAAACGAACCATTGAATGGATGTGTTTCTATTTTGATCCATTTCCATGTTTAATATAAAAACAACTGTTGAATAGCAAATTTAAATGTTTTTACCGATTCTTTCCATTATTGTTTTATGTATATATAAGTTTTATTTAGAATTATATTACAATTTTGTCAACATAACGATTCTCTATAAATTCGTTCAATAATTTGCATAATCACGTGTCATTGTCTAATTTTAAGACGCATTTGTGCGATTATGAATTTTACAAATCGTTCTATTTATAGGTTTGCATATTCGCTAAATAATCAACGCTCATGAATTGAGTCTATACGTGATTGGTCTCTTTCTATCATCATTACTGTTTTCGGAAATAGTTTCTAAACATAGTTGAGTCCGGATCGACCACGTGACGGTCCAACCTGATTCGGTCATATGATCGGATCGCGTTCCAAACCGTTTCCTGAGATCATTAACATCCCATAACATCCCTAATCACACCCCGCCAGTCAACACCGCATAACCGCAAAATAAATAACGGCAACATTTCCCTTCCCTTAAAGTATAAAAAAAAAAACTTTCTTCATAAACAAACTTTTTTAAAATAAAAAAGAGAAAAGTGTGAAGTTTTAATAAGTAATATATTTTCAATACTTTGTTAAATAAACAAAAAAAAAAATAATAAAAAATGACTAGTGAAGTTGGTGACGAAACTGCTAAAAAAGCCTCTTCACGTAAGAGAAAACAAACTTCCGAAGAAACAACTGTTGAACGTAAAACTAATCCCAGACGTGCCGCGAAAACTAAAGCTGAAGAAGCTAAAGCTGCAGCAGCTGCTGCAACAAGTTCTTCAACCTCTAAAACTAAAGCAACGGGAACATCTAAAAAGGCTAAAACTGAGGTTAGTAGATTCTTTTTTCTCAGAGGTCATTTTATCAGTACTCCAAACGAGTATAGTTTTTTTCGTAAGGAAGTACTATTCAAAAAAAAGACGCGTTTTATTTCTTCTATGAAAATATTTTTCCCCCCTAAAAAAAGTTTCATATTAACAGGAATAAATATCACTTTATTTACCTGAAATATTTTTCGCGATCAAAATTTAATTAATTTTAGAAAACCGATGCTCCCGGTCTTCCTACACCCAAAGTTTTCTTGGCCAATGCTCAAGGACTTAAAGTGGTAATCTCTTATCCTACTACCGAAAAGGAAGATGACGAAAATGAGGAGGAAACCTCTAAAAAAGAAGGAACCGAAGAAGAAAAAGAAAAAACAAAAGAGGAAGAAAAATCCACAGCAAAGAACGGTGATTCGGTTGCTGATATAACATCAGAAGAAAATGAACCATTGTACACCTTGACCGCAAAACCTCAAAGACACGCTAGTGGTAGTTATGGATGGACAGCAAATATTCCAAAAGGGAAGATTAAGGTAGACATTGATGGTGAAGAGGTCGAATTACCTGTTACGATCAATTTAAATATTACCGTTCAAGGTTCTAAGAAATAAAGTATATTTTAACGTAGATTAAGGGTATTTTGATTAAGGGTTGATTAAAAAAAAAAAATAATTTGTCTTTCATTTTGTTAACTTTTAACTTTCGAGAAATATTATGCTTCTTACCTTTTTTTCTTGTATGTTAAGAAAAAGAAATCGAAGAAAGATTTTTTCTTTTACAATGTATAGTAACCTTATTACGCAGTAGTTTTGGTTCTTGATTTCTTCTTTAGATGGGAAATTTTTTTTTTTATCTTTACATCAAATCACTATTTAGTATATTCTTTTTTTTTAGATGAGTGAAAAGTGGCAAAACTTTGTATATAATTCATATATTCAAATATTGTCAAAATTTTTTTCTTTTCTTCTAGTTCACCATCTTTCACTCTATATTTTTTTTTTTTTTTTTTTGTATCTCATGAAGAGGTAAAGTTGTTAATAAAAATGGATTAGTAGTAGAATTTATCATTTTAAATAATAAAAAAAAATTTAACATTCAATCCTGATCCAGTTCAATTTAAGAAATTTGTATTATTTTTAAAGTAATTTTAAAAAAAGTATTTTTTATTTATAATGAAATGATTTGATGATTAATTAAAATGTCTTTGATGAAATAATGTTCTAAATTTTTTTCTTTGATGTCTATTTTAAAAAAGAAACTAACGATCTCTGTAAATAACATTCACATTATCTCTATATCTTGAATGAATTAATAATATTAATATATAAACAACCACTTCTTAATTGATGAATTATTTAGGGCTTTTTATAAGTTTAAATAAATCAAAATATTGATTGATAGTTGTAATTTATAAATTATAATTTCAAATTTCTCTATACACTAATAATTTTAATTATAATTCTTTATAAATTTTTGTAAAATAAATAAGGTTTTCTTTCTTTTTCCTTTTTTTTTTTTAAAAAAAAAAAAAAAAATATCATTTCGAAATCGATAAAAAAAAAAAAAATTTTTTACAAAAAAAAAAAAAACCAACAAAATAAAAATAAATAATGAAATAAACTATTCTACTTGAACTTATCCTCTTATTTTGATTTAACACATACCAAAAGTTTATTAACCCCAAAAAATAATTAATTAAATAATTAAGTAAAAATTAATTTACAAAGCATTCTTTCTTGTAAGGTCATCAAATCTCTTGAACGTATAACCAACGAAAGCCAAATCCTTTTGGTTATATTCTCCAGCAACATTTGAATTGTTGCGTTCTATTTAAAAAGAACGTTAATTAAAAAACTTGAAAATCAAATAATTTAAAGTTAAATAAATGAATTTACCAATTGTTTGAGGTTGCTCTGGAATCTTGTCCAAATCTTCTGTAGGGAAATAGCTAGTATCGGTAATTGATTTCAAATTAGGAACAAACGGTGCTTCAATATTACGAATAGATTCCCAATCTACTCCAGAAAAGAATGAATGAACTTTAATTTCGTCTGCACCATGACGTCCCAAACGTTGTTCAGGTGCGCAAATGAGTCTGATTAAATAATTCAACAAACATTTCATTAAATTAATATCTTAAGGTATTAATTTTCAAAAAAAAATTTAATCAATATTAAATAAAAAGTTATACCGTCTAATTAAGTTTTCTGCTTCGGGACTCAAATGAACATCATCAGGGAAATACAATTGATCCCGCCAGTTGATGATTTTACGATAAGTTTCATGAGCATTTTCGCTACAAAATGGTGGATAACCTACAAGGCATTCAAACATGATGGCACCAAGTGACCACCAATCACATTCTTGACCATAACCTTGTTGTAAGAAAATTTCGGGTGCAATATAATCTGGTGTTCCGACTGTGGAATAAGCCTATAAAATTAGATACAAGTCAGAAATATTCCAATTTATGCGTATAAATATCAAGTAACATTAAGGATCATACCAAAGCTCTTCGATTTTTCTTCCATGTGGCGATCCTATCTTTACTAGATAATGTTAAATTGATATTAGCCTCACTGCCTAATTGTCTATGACCGGATGAACTATTAAGACTTCCATCCAAAAGTCTCTGATAATATGCAGAATCATGTGTTCGGTGAAATCCGGTAGAAAGGCCAAAGTCGGATAATTTGATATGACCATCTTTATCAATCAAAATGTTATCAGGTTTTATATCTCTAAATAAATAGGGTTGAATCATTTTGAATTAGATCGTAAATAAATAAATAATATGGGTCGCTTGCTATTAAAATCAAGTTTCGAGACATAGGAAATAATATGATTCGAACATGATTTTAATCTCATGTATATATAATATGTAAATGTATATAAATATAATTACCGATGAATGAAATTTAATTTATGAATTGCTTCAATGGCTAAGACACATTCTGCGATATAAAATCTCGTTACATCCTCCGAGAAGGTGTCATATTTGATCAACATTGTCATCAAATCGCCGCCAGGTAAGAATTCCATAATGAGATAGAGATATGACGCATCTTGAAATGAGTAAAATAATTGCACCACCCATGGAGAATCAGATTCGGCAAGAACATCGCGTTCAGCTTTAACATGCGCTAACTAAATAATATAATCAATTAATAATATTAATAATGTTAAAAAAAAGTACTGCTGCATTATAGTAAAATCACCTGATCTTTTTTAAACATATCTGCTTTTCTTAACGTTTTCATCGCATATATTTTACCTGTATCTGCTTTTTGAACCAATCGAACCTAGTGAACAATTAATTCAACATAAAATTTAGTGAAAATTTATAAAATTTCAACCGATCTGACAGTAAGCGCGTTATATTAACCTTCTAACTTTGACATACCTCACCAAATGCACCCTTACCGATTACTTTGACAGTAACGAAATCTTCCAAACCTAATCTAGTCCTGCGAAGTCTCAAGAAAGAAGATTCCTTCCGTCCAAGCGATTGAAGTTGTCTGTTCTTTCGTTCATCTGAAATGTCTTCCTTTTCAAGTTTTTTTTCAAGTTCATTACGTCTAGTTAAATAGAAATTATAAAATTATTAGATCACCTGAATTTATATAGAGATGAAAATGAGAGTTTATATTTTAATGCTAACTATTTTAACATCTATTTTAATGAAGAAATCTTCACTTACCGGTCGTTAACTTCTCTTGCTTGATCCAAAGTAACCTTATAGAAATGTTCTAATTTTAATTTCGCAGCAGTAGATCTGTCTAAGGTACCTTTTGAAAAACCATCTGTAGACCTATCAAAAACTACATATTCTTGACCACCGTTGCCACCAAAGCCGCCAGAAGACGGCGATCCCGAATTTTGCATATCATAATCTGCCATTTTTTTTTTTTTTTTTTTTTTTGATTCAGATGTATGTAATAAAAGTGAAGAATTTTTAACAATAGATGTTTGTATGAAAAACGTGGTGATGGTTAATAAGTCTTTTTAGACTTTAAAGTGATACCGTGTTACTAGGTTAAATGAAGAACGCGGAAATAATTCGTGTCACATATAACTAAACATGCATTTCATGCGTGTATGCAACACAACGAATGATAAACGAATTATTGAATGACGATTCAAAAGATTTTGCTCTGTAATAGGTATTAAATCAACGAAAAATTTGGGTCAAAAAAATTGAAGGATCATCAAATACTAACATTGACACAAATAATTGAATATTCTTGAAATCAAATAATGGTGATTGATATCAACTAGATCTCCTCCATGCACATAATATTTTTGTAATATTTTTGTGTAAATCTAGTTTAGATCGTAACTTCTTCACAATAATATATTATCAGTTAAAAGTAATGATAGATCTTTGATTCGTTGTTCACGTGAATTTGAATCACGTTTCAGTTTGAAGTTTTATTTTTTTATTTTTTTTTAATTGCGCAAGAAAAATTTGCGAAAACGTTATTAAATTTTTTTTTTTTTTAGATACTACGCCCCGCCAAGAATGTAAAAAGTAAATAAAAAAAAAGAAATTATGTTGATGTTAAAGAGTCGCGATTCATTTTAAAAATCGGTACCAAAATCTGTAACATCGGGAAATCAAGAGTTTTTGGGTGGAAGGATATAAAGCCGCGATCTATGTACACTAGTTGAAGTAAAGGATCAAGAGGAAAAAAAAAAAAAAAAGTAAAAGTTGTGCGGCTATTTAGATGTAATAAAACATAAAGAGAATTAAAAAAATGAATATATATATAAATGATCTATTTCTCGATTTTCTCAATCGTTTGCACCATCGTTTACAGCGTCATCCTCTTCCTGTACCCATTCGGCGCCGACATTTTCTTGTTCGAACTCGATTCCTTCGTCTTCGAGTGTTCCCTCCGGTAAATTTGCATTGTGATATTCAATGATCGAATTTGGTTTTGAAAGGTCGATCAGTTTCCCAGATTCCACGGCACGAAGTCCCATCTGACGTGCCTTCTGGAAAATTTGAATTCTACAAAAGTTACCGTGAATTATTTATAGCATGATTAATCTAGGTTTACTAAATATTGGAATAAAATTTTTTTGCTCTTGAATCAAATTCAATATAAGTTTTCATAACAATTCCGATTCAACTTTTCGTTTTAGGAAATCGATCAATCGTATAAATGAAAACTCCCACATACCTGGTACGCTCAGGTTCAAATTCTTTAATAATTAATTCCCAATCACCATTGTATTTGTCATGGGCCGCTTTCAATCGTTCTACTTCATCATCTGTCCAAAGTTGTCTTGGTGCTCTTCTATGCTTTGGTGCTTTTTGATTTTCGGAACTGTAGGCCTCTTCTCCACTCGCTGAAATATCATCCCTCCCATGTCTTTTTAATTTTTTATTACTATAATTTTGGGGACTAACAGCATATCCGCCCAAGCCCGGATTTAGCATACCACTGATTACCATTCCAGTTTCATTAATAATATGGAGAGGATCCGTTCCCGGCATGGGCGGTGCTAGAAATAATGAAACATCGGTTTCTTTTAAAAGATTCGAGATACCTTGATAGTAATCGGCAGATAATTCGAGACATTTCTTTTGCTATTAATTTGTAATTTGATTGAAAAAATATTTAAGCGCAAATAAGTTAAATAATAATAAATTAGGAATTTAACTATAATCCACTTTAAAAAAAAAAAATAGGTATGTAATACTTTTCTTAACTTTAAAAAGATACTCACAAACTCGTAAAAGTTATATACAGTTTTTCTTCGTGGGACGTGCATTTTGTTATGATAAGTTTTGTTAACTTTGAACCTAAATTGAGTAGCTTGAGTTGATAGTGAAGTTGATGTAGGCGTAGTTTTAACAGTGACTTCTTCTTGTGGACTATTATTATTATTATTCATTTTATTATTCAATCACACAACAGGCAAAAGAACAGGTATCAAATAGTCGGACAGGAATCTGGTTCTGTTTTTCTCGTATTTACAAAAACCACCACTATTTCTATAATTTATAGTCTTTGTATTCGGCCGATTGTGTCCGTTTATTTAGCCCAAGGATCTGGTCACGTACTTCAAATTCTGGCCAAAATACAACAGATGCAACTAGAAAATCACAATTTGTCCAGTAATAAAATATTTTATTTATTTTGAATGTTACTGATTAACCCTTTTTTTATTTTTAATGTAATTTATGTTTTTTATAATCGATTTAGAAAATTTATTTATCAATGCTTAAGATTTGGTTAGTTCAATATTGTGATATTATTAGCGTTCGAACCTAATATTATCTTTTTTTAAAAATTTACGAAATATTTATCGTGTAACACAATATATTTTAAAAATATAAATTTTAAATTACCAATTATATTATTTTTTTTTTATTTTTAAAAAGAATCCCATCCCCGATGTAAATCGATTTGAAAGAAAAAAAAAAAAAAAAAATTTTCTTTGATTTGCTATTCTTGCACCATTCTTTTTTAAACCCATTGGCAAAACATCTAGATATTGTAGTATTTAATCTAATCTGACTGATTGATATTTATTATTTATAGTTTCGAGCTTTTGTATTCTCAAGCTAGCTTCGATGGTTTCAGCTTCAGAAATTTCACGAAGAAGGGCATTGCACTCATTTAACTCTTGAATCTCTTTTTTTATGTTCATACATAATGTGTGCATTGACCGGGCGACATCATGTATCTAATTTGAAGGCGTATTAAAGATTATTAAAAATTGATGAAGATTTCCCTTAATCAAAATTAGGTAATTTTACCAGTGGTGACTCCATGTCCCATTTTCGTAAAACGTCCTCAGCGGCTATCGAACACGTGATAATTTCATTCTTTAATTGATCTGTAAAAAACATAATAATAATGAGCAAATTGAAAGAAATAGATAATAATTTTAAACAAGGCATACCTAATTCTCCGGTTATGATATTAGCAATTGGCATTGCAGTTGTAGTGCTTGCTAAAGACGACGCAAATAAAATGTAACGTTTCTTAAATTTTTCAAAATGTTCGTTGATTTGTAATAAAATGTCTCGCTAAGCGTTAAGAATAAAAAATAAAAAATAATAATAAATATTTATATTCTAATCTCTAATTTTTATACTTGAGAAAGATTTTTATTACCAATTTTGGATTACCTGAATCTTTAGAGTCGTATTTAAAAAGATAATCTCTTTCTCCAATGTAAACTTTTGATTGGCTTTTGACAATTCTTCTTGTTTCTTTACAAGCAATTCCCATGCATCTAATAATTGAACCTAAATAAATTATTTAGTATTTTAGAAAAAAGTTGGCAAGATGATAAAATAAATTCTACCTCTGCAGTTCTTTTTTGATGCTCAAACGCTTGTTCTGCTTTAGCGTTCAGTAAACACCATTGCGTCAGTCGTGCATTTAACATTATCAATTCATCATCTAAATTTCGATTCTAAATTAATTAAAGAGAGACGAATTGTGAGTAACATATTATGTACTGAATGTATTAAGAAAATCTAATTCTTACCTCAGTTGGAGATTGACAATCTTGTAATGTGGCCTTATTTTGATCCTTTCTCGGTACAATCGGATAGACTTGAATATTTAATATTTAATATAATGTATAAGCATTTTTTATTAAATCTCACCTGGCTTACTTGTTCTATATAAGAAAATTGAATTAATATAATTTAATTATTTAAAGTAACACGGATCATAAATCCTATACCTTGATTTTTATTCAAATTTGTAAAAATTTTTTGGGCTTTACGTTTCTGAACGGTCGTATGAGATATACCCAATTGTTTCTGTACAGTTTTGATTGGTTTGATGCTGGGTCTATTACCTTCGATCGCTGGTTTGGATATAGTATTTTTTTTAATATCTTGATTTTTATTTGATGCGGCATTAGAATTGCCCGAAATAGATTGCATATAACGTGACGGAACTTCACGAGCTATTGAAGATAAATTTTTTTGGTGTCAGTAATGTACTTGAGAACAAATGATTAAATTGAATTTATATTACTTTTTTTCTTATGCTTTTGTTCATTATTAGTAGAAATCATAGTAGAAACTGAAAGTGTGGGAGAAGGACACTTTTCAGATTCTTTGTGCAAATTTTCGTTATTAGTTAATACTGTCTCCGCAACTGCATTTTCATCGCTATTTACATTAACAAGTATGATGTCATTAATGTGTCCTTTTTCGAATATCTGAACATAGGTTTACCAAAAAAAAATCTTGCTTAACTCGATAAATCTCACGTGTTTCGCGTTAAAATTTTGTGCACTCGACATTTTCTTTTTTCCCTAGACGTGAACCTTCGCGATATTCAAAAATCATCCAAAAATGTAAACACCGAAAACATCATTCACGTGACATTTTAATATTAAAAATGAATGTCTAAAGGAAAAGCTGTTTATAGATAATGAGATCGTGGTCTTTGGATATTTGAGTTAGTTATTTTACATAAGATCTTATTATAAATATTTTATTAGATGGAATTAAGATTATCTTGACTAATATCATATCTCAACTAATATCTTAAAAAAGTTTTTTCTTAACTGATATTACTTTCTGCCTTATTCAATTTGGTCGATATGGTAGCTTTTTCAAAGCCAATTAATGAGCTACCCTCGGCCATACAAGCAGTTCTTAATTCAAATTCTAATAATGGCAACTCTCGAATTAATAATAAAACAAAAGTAGCAGCTTCGATAGCTGCTGTATCAATCGCTGCTTACATCACGAATTATATTTATAAGAAACAGGCTGAGACATCTTATGCACGAGCTACTAGTAGAAAAGCTGATTTATATGATGGTCCAGTTTCTGGAAATAAATATACTTTGACTGTTCCTTATAAGAATCGTACCGCAAAAGTTACTATTCGTCCAACTCCACCCGAAACTTTTAAAAAACATAAAAAGCTTTTTGCTCTTCCTGCTAATGGTACTCAAAGGGTTGGAGTAAATAAGATATTTTTTGGACAATTATCTGCCATTTTTAAAATAATACTCCCAAAAGTTCGTTCAAAAGAAGTTATTATCTTGTTATTACATTCCATATTTTTGGTTTTAAGATCATGGTTAAGTATTGTAGTAGCAAGACTGGATGGGCGAATTGTTAGAGATTTGGTATGTTTGTTTAACAATCCTATATCAATAGAAAATTTCAAAATTCGCCCATGGTTCAAAATAGATTTATTCATTGTAGGTCGCAGCAAATGGTAAAGAATTCCTTAAGGGAATCGCATATTGGTTTCTCATCGCTATCCCAGCAACATACACCAACAGCATGGTAAATTTATTTTTTAATGCTTTTGTTTCAAATTTATTTCATTTAACTTTTACACATATTGATCATCATTTCGGGTATTTTTTTAAAACATAAAGATTCGATTTTTCCAGTCAAAATTGTCTATTGCTTTTCGAACGCGATTGACAAGATATGTAAATGATCTTTATTTGAATGATCAAAATGCTTATTACAAAGCTATTAACCTAGATAATAGGATTGAAGGAGCAGACCAGTTAAGTTTATTCCATTTTCTCAATGAACAAATAGAAAATATTTGTATAAATTAAAATTGCTCGTTTTTATTATTATTATTAGGTTTATTACAACCGATATTGCGCGATTTTGTGATGGACTTGCTTCGTTGTATTCAAATCTGGGTAAACCAGTATTGGATACAGTTATCTTTAATTATCAATTAACAAAGAGTATTGGTTTACTTGGAATGTTGGGTTTATTTGGAAATTATATAGTAACAGCCTGGATTCTAAGAAAAGTAACTCCAGCTTTTGGAAAATTAGCGGCCATTGAGGCGAAATTGGAGGGAGATTTCCGTGCAGCACACACTCGTTTAATCACAAATGCCGAAGAAATTGCTTTTTATCATGGAGCTGTATTAGAGCATTCCATTTTAGAACGCACATATATTCGATTAGTTAAGCATATAAATTCTATTTTCAAAATACGTATTGCATACAACATGTTTGAGGATTTTGTAATTAAATATTGTTGGAGCGCTATTGGACTTTTAGTGTGTTCTGTACCAGTTTTCTTTCCTGCTTATGGTGGACGGGGAGGGAAAATTGAAATGCAAGGTGGCTCTAAAAATTATGGTAAAGAAAGAGATCGTACTAAAAGCTTTATTACAAATAAGAGGTAATTATAAGAAGCATTTTATTTATTTATGACTTGATCTTGATATATTATTTATTACTTTTTTTTTTTCTTGTTAGACTTATGATAACACTTGCCGATGCTGGTGGTCGTATGATGTATTCATATAAAGAACTTGCAGAACTTGCAGGTTATACTTCCAGAGTATACAATTTACTTTCAGTCCTTCATTCTTTGTATGCTAGCGAGTATGTTGCTACACTTCGCCCAGCATCATTCCCTGAAGATCAAGAATTCTATTCACTTGATGATGTTCGCGGAGAAATTTTATATGGATACAATGGTATAAAATTCGAAGGAGTTCCCATTGTCACACCAAATCCTGGAAACGCGAGGGGTGGAGATGAATTAATAAAAGGATTGAATATAGTAATAAATCCTGGAGAGCATTTGTTAGTCACTGGACCTAATGGAGTTGGAAAAACGAGTGTTGCAAGAGTTATTTCTAAACTATGGCCTGTTTTCCGTAAGTTGATTGTTGTGTTGTATTCATATGTTCTTAACCTATATCCCGGTCTTTTTAATAATTATTGTCGTGGTTATCATTCAAAAATATAGGTGGTGTACTTTCACGTCCAAATGTGGGAGATATTTTCTATATTCCTCAACGTCCATATCTTAGCATAGGCACCCTTCGTGATCAGTATGAACATATTCTTAATTGTTTTAATATTTCCAATAATATAATTTCCTTATCTTATTAATTTTCGTAACGTTTTCTTCTTTTTTTAAAGAATAATTTATCCACATTCTTATGCGGATATGATTCGTGCCAATCGAACAGATGAGGAATTAATGGATATATTACAAATTGTTCATTTAGCTTATATTCCAGATCGTGAAGGTGGATGGGAGACCAAGAAAGAATGGAAAGATGTTTTTTCCGGCGGCGAAAAGCAAAGGGTAGGTATTATAATCATAGGAAAATTTTTTCTCGGTAATAAATTTTTATTTATAAGTTATCTTTTATTAGGTTGGCATGGCTAGACTTTTCTATCATAATCCTAAATTTGCTATTCTTGATGAATGTAAGTTAATATTATTGTATTTTTTTTTTTGCATTTTTATGTTATGTTAAATTAAAAATGGAATCATCATATTTCGTAATTTAGGTACAAGTGCTGTTAGTTCTGATGTTGAAGGGTTAATGTATCAACATGCAAAGGACGTTGGTATCAGTAAGTATTATTACTTAAGAAAGTAAATGTGTATGCTTTTATAAATATTAATTAATTAATTTATATTTTTTTACAGCTCTTGTTACTATATCTCATCGACCATCTTTATTTAAATACCATACACATCTTTTACTTCTTAGTGGAGATGAAGGCTCATGGAAATTTGAGACAATTGGTACAAAAGAAGAACGTATGTCTTTAGATAATGAAGTTGCAGCATTAGAATCTAAGTTAAAAGATGTAGAATCTGATAAAGCTAGAATTGAAGAGATTAATAAGGAATTACAATTAGGAATATCAAAAGATAATACTACTAGTAAAGTACAACGTCGTGGATTAGTTTTATAAGTTTTTTATCTTTCATTTTTATCTTTTTTTATTATAATTTGTTGTAAGCGTAAACTGTTGATAATTCAGATGTTAGTAATTACTTTAACATTATTTATAACAAATTTTAATGTTTTTCTTGTATTTTATAATGGGTGTAAAATATGGTTGGTCGAACTTGCTCGTTATTTATTAAATCAATAAATAAATGATATATAAATTTACTAGAATTTACTAAATCTAATTCGGAATTGACAAAGCATTACTTTTGATTATAGTTAATATATTTTTTTATTATTAACCTTAAAATTAATTTTTAGATAGTTAAATTATAACAGACCTTTTTCTTTTTAAGGGAAAAAAACAAAACAAAATAAAATAATTGGATAGAAATATTAAAAGCAACCAAAAGTATTTAAAGTCTAAAGTTTTGTTTATCTATATATTAAATAATAAACCACACTTCAAACAAACAATAACTATACATATTGCAAAAAAGCAATGTTTCAAATAATATTAGAAAATATAATTCAATTAACCAAGTAATCTTTTTTTTTTTTTTAATAAAATTTTGTTAAAATTAAAAAGGGGGCAAAGAATATATATTATATACCACATTATTAAGATTAGTATAATATAATTCAAGATCTCATCATTCTCCGTACTTCATTGTATCTTTTAGTTTTACTAAGGTCCATTAATTTTTCACAATTAGGTAATTTCATATGTTGAGCTTCTTTTAGTTTTTCTTCATCTTGAAATACCCAACCTCTTGCTTCATTTATTCTACGTTGTTTAAAAATTGCTTCACTATTACATTGTGACGTTAATGACTTAACAAATGTAACTTCAACGTTATCTTCAAACTTGTGTAATTTCCTTGGGTTTTGTTCCAATGATGAAAATGATTTTGGATCTACATAATATGGAACATTTAATGAATGTGTATATCTTGATTGTGTATGGTAATCTGTTTGATGAAGTGAATATGCTGGCATTGGTTCTGGAGTTTGTGTTAACCAGTTTGATGATAATGAAAAGAAGAAAAGTAAAATAAGTGGCAAGAGTTGAAGACATGTAAGAATTGCTGATGATTGTTGTTCTTGTGGACCATCTCCGTTAGGTGATGCTCTTCTTGGTTGGAATCGACGTGCTCTAAATCCTGGCCCAACAAATGTTGCCGAATGAAATCCTAAATAATTTAAGGAAAAATATTTACTTTAGTACCATTTTCCCAATGAGATATATGATATATATATACAGTATATATATAAACATGTGCATATGTATAAACTACCTACCATCCGCATTGAAAAACATATTGAAAAGTTCTTCGGGTGAAATTTCATCAGCAAAGACTGCTCCATTTGTAAATCCATTATTAAATCGTGCTCCTCCGAAACCGGGTGGCATTCCACTATTACGTGAATCTGGATCAACACCATTTTCATCGAAAGCTGCGCGTTTTTGTGGATCACTTAATACTTGGAACGCTTTGCTAACCACTAATTAAAAATCGGAGGTAAAACAATTAGAATCAAAAATAAATTAATTCCGTAGAGATTTTTTTTTTAAAAAAAAAAAGAAAGACTCAATTAGAAAACCAACACTTAAAAGCTTCATCTGCTCCCGGAGCACCATTCTTGTCCGGGTGCATCTGTAAAGCCAGCTACTTTTTTCGAAGGTAAAATAATAAAGGCTATTTTAGCAATTGTTCATAGTTAAAGTAATTATAATAGACTCTATATTACAATTAATTCCATTTTTATTTAACAATATATTTATAATTTAAATATATCCAAAAAACGACCTTTCGATAAGCCTTCTTAACTTCTGAATCGCTAACTTCTTTGCTTATTCCAAGAATAGAATAAAAGTCGTGTACTCCACAAGCTCTTATTCGCTTAACAGCTTCAGCTTGCTCGGTAGTATATTCTCTAGTTTGTCTTCCTTGTTTATGTTCTCTAGAAGAACTTGAAGGTGAAGGAGGTGGTGGAGGTGAAGCGCTTCTATCATTGTTACTTTCATTTGGTGATTGTGTTGTTTTACGTGATTCAACTCTTTTAAGAAAAGTTTGAGCCTCGGGTGTTGGAAATAAATTAATTGATTTTTGAGCAAACTTAATTGCTCCCGTTATATTTCCTGAAGCTAAACGATTGCGTGCAATATCTAAACATCTGATTGCTTCGTCTCTATTGACTTCCATTTCTTTGACTTAATCCTCAAGATATAATCAAAAATTGAGAAGGAAATGCGAAAAAGATCTACTATAGTATCACCCTTTAATGTATAAAGTAATTAGATCTAAAAACTACCACTATTTGTTTTTTTATACGGTATTAAATAAGTAACGAGAAATTTTTTAAAGATGGATAGTGCCACGTTTGCGATATTTAAATAAAATTCTGGTAAATCTTTTCGGAAACCTTTTTCAGGATCTATTTTTTAATTCCTGTAGCCGAACTCGGAATTCATGTCCGAAACGAAATCCCATCGAAATCCGAACTTCTGACCATTATTTATACAAATATTTTTAATAATAATAATAATAATAATATACTGTAATTATAAAATAATTATTTGTTTTATTAAACTTCAAAATTTAACTTTACAAATTTTTTTTTTTTGATTTAAATTTTTATCAAATGTTTTTATTAAAATTATCAATTATTAGTATATAAAGTATCATAATATTATAAAAAAATTCAAATGACAATAATGAATTGCTTAAAAATAATTGCTTAATATAATAAATAAATACTTAAATTTAAAGTTATTTAGAACTATAATATTATTCAGAAATAGTGATGCATATTAAAAAAACCTTTTTAATATATAACTTAAATATAGAAATCTTTAAATAAATATTTCTTGAATTTAAAACTTGATTTAATTTTATTAAGTTTATAAAACCTATTATAAAGTTTAGATAAAGATATTTATTATTAAGTCAAATAAATTAAAACTTAAAATTTATTCAAAAATATTTTTAAACAAGTATTTTTATTCAAAAATAACTTTTAATTAAATTTTTTTCTTATTAAAAATTTTAAATAATATATAAATATAAAATAAAAATTATATGAATGCAAAATCTATGATAATTATATGGTTATGATTATTATTTACTTTTTTGAATTTTTGATTTAAAATAAAATAAACATATTTTAGAAAACCTAAGGATTCCAATAATTTTATTATCAAAAAATACATAAATTTTTATAAAAGATTTGTAAATACTTTTGCTTTTTATAAAATAATTAATATATTAAATAAAAAGAAATTACAGGAAATAATAATATAAATAATAAGAAAAAATATAAATTTTATATTATAAAATATTTATAAATCATTTTTTTATTTTTTATAATAAAAAATTGATAAAAAACTATTAAAATACTTTTATATCCTTTAGAAAATTTAGAAAAACTTTATATTCTTTAATAATTAACCATTAATGCAATAGCATAAAAACAAATATACATATATCTCTTTAAAAAAATAAATTTATTTTATTTAAATATAATTACTTATTAAAACCAGCTATTTTATTTATAATTTATTTTGTTTGAGAAAATAATTATATTAGAAAAAAAGAAGATCAAAAAATAAGAGGTAATATAAAAGCTTAATAATAGGTAAATAGAAGTTGAATAAAAAGAATATTATAATAATATGTGATACATTAAGTTATCTACATTAGTCTACAAAAAGTATTCAGATTTTATAAAATTTACTTAGTAAAATTAAAAATCTTTAAGTTGTATAAATATTTACAAATTTTCATCAAAATCCAACCAAAATTTTTTTATTTGAAAGCCAATCAATTATAATTTTTAAAAATCTAAAAATAAGTATTCAATTTTAAAAATGCAAAAAAAAATAAAAAAATATATTTTTAAAAAAAAAATATATAATAAAACTATTATTTATACTTTGCTATAAGAAAAATTTTTAATGTTATAAAAATTTTTATTTTTTATTTTAATATATAAAAATTATAATTGATTAGCTTTCAAATAAAAAAAAATTTGGTTAAATTTTAATGAAAATTCGTAAATATTTATGCAGTCTAAAAATCTTCAATTTTACTATATATTATTAAGTAAATTTTATAAAGTTTGAATATTTTTTATAGGCTAGTATATTATTCTTAATAAATGATTCTAATTTTTAAATAATATACATATAGATAGTATAAAGAATATAAAGATAGTATACCAATTATTAATTGAAAAAAGTATTACAGTTTGTAATATTATATATATTGCAAATTTAAAGAATATTTTATAATGATTTATATTATTATAATTATTTTATAACATATAATTGATTATAATCCAGTGTAAAAATATTAATATACCAATATATTTATAGTAAAAAAAAAATTATTAAATTTAATATAAGCATTTAAACATTTTTATTTATTATAAGTTTTAAGAAATATTTTTAATATAAATTTTATTAACATAAAATTTTTATAAAAATTTTATTAATTATCAATTTCTTCAATTTTGAAATCTTCATAATCATTTTAACCAATGATATATCATCAACTTAATTCTTTATATTTTATGGTTTTGTCAAATGCTTTTTTTTTAAATCTAATAATAAGTTTAATAGTAATCTTTTTTATTAAAAGCATGTAACAATTTGTCTTTAATAACTAAAAGATTTGAGTAAGAACTAGATCTAACAACCTTACTTTTAATAGTTGACCAAACTTCTTTAATTGCATAATGATAAAGCAAATATAAAATAATTCATAATCATATTTTCTAGCTATATTAATACACATAAAAGGTACATTTGCTTTATTTTGTTTTACTAATTCATACAATTTTGCTTTGCTAGAATTTTAATGAATATCAACATCAGCTAAAGTTAATCAAACAATTTATAAATCCTTTTTTCAGTTTAATGTTAATACACATTCAACTCAATGTTTATAATAATAAGCATACATCTTTATCAGCCTTGTTCAAGTTTGTCTTACAAACTCTCATTTTCACGAATAAGCACTTCGTTATATGAAGTAACTTTGCTGATTTCTGTTCTTAAATCTCTTAATTCTTAATTTGCATTGTATTATCTATATGATATTTCATTAGTTTATAGCATTTCTTAATCTTATCAAAAAGTCTTTGAAAATTTTAGTTATAAAATTTCTATAATAATCAACATGATCTATTGTAATATTAGCATTTTAAATAGCTTTAGAAATATTATTTCAGGCATCAGCATTTGCTTATTTTCTCCCTCATAATGAAAATAGTTTTATTGATAGAATTTATATAAGAAAAAAAGTAGGAATTAATTCATCACAAAACTTATTAGTATTACCATTATACTTTATGATTATTTCTAATGATATTTGACTAAACTCTTTTTTTGAAAAATTGTAATTTCATCAAAAGTTTCGTCTTTTTAATATTTTTATATAAATAAATATAAAATTATTATATTTTTTAATGTATTTTAATTCAAGGAATTTAGATCAAGTTAAATATAATTTTGGCAATTAAGTAAAATAATTTCATCATTAATAAAAAACTAGTTTTATTATTTCAGCTTTGACAATTTCATCATATTAAAAAAGGTAACTTCATCAGGTATCACTAATTATTGCCTTAAAAATAACAATTAAGAAACTATGACCTTGTGAATATGCTACTTATAACTTGACACCCAAATACAATTTGTAATATAATACAAATAATAATATAATTCATCTAAAAAAACTTTTGGCCTAGTTAGAACTTTATTATTTCCTTACAAATTTTCAAAATAATATCATAAATAATAGTTATAAAAAGCAATATTTGCTAGTGATTTATATAACATATTTTAACGTTTACCATAATCATAAAAATATCCTAATATATGAAATAAATGCTATTTTAATAATTTATAACTATTTTCTTTAAGCTTTTGTCATAATATTTATGTTGAAAGTAGAATATCAAAAATATTTACAGGCATAATAAAACTTTGTAAAAGTTCAGGAATATTATGGTTAAGCTTTTTATTTTTTGATTGACTCATAAATTTTTGTGTTTAAAATTCTCCATTTTTTATTTTGTACAGTATAATATAACCTTTTCAATATTAAGAATCATAGCAACTTTGTATAATGATATATCATAATACTATTTTGGTATTGTTAAATATTTAAAAAATGTTAATGAATATAAAATATTTTTCATTCATTGACAGTTAACAGACTTCTGTTTCTAGTCAAATTATTTATAAGAAAAAAGCTTTAGATTTGCAAGCTAATTAAACTTTGAATATAATCTAACCTTTCATATAATTTGTACAATCAAATGATAATATAATTATTAGATTTTATCAAATGAGAAAATCAGAAAATAATTTTTATGTATATATCAGATAATATATTATAATTAATTAATTAATTTATAATATAATTAATTTAATACTAGATAATGGAAACTGTTAGAAAGTCTGAAGTGAAAAACTCCTAATACTTAAGTTTGTGATCATGAGATTATTTCATAATTATACAACAATTGTAACTAATAACAGATTAACTCAAATATTGAGCGAAAAAATACGAGACATATGAGTCATAAGGCATAAAATTATATAGTCCTTCGCTATGCTCTGGACTAATAAATAATTTCAAATATAAAAAATTTAAGTTTACTTTATAATATTTAATTTTATTTATTAAACATAATATTATTATTTCTTAAATTATCTAATAAGCAAATTTACTTACAAAATTAAAAAAAAGTAATGATTTCTTTATAAATATTAAGTAGTAATTTTAGTAATATTATTATTTATAATAGAAACAAAAACTATTATTAAATCTTAAACAAATATAATAAAAGTAATTAATCATATATAATTTAATTTTAAGTATATGAATATTAAAATATTTTTATATAAATTCTATATAATCATTAATTTTGCTTTAGATTAAAAATATAATTTAATATTTTTTTATTAACCTTATTAGCAAATATTTTAAAACTTAAATAGTTTTTAAAAATAATTTAATTTTAAATTAAGTTTCAAAAAATTTATTAAAAAAATCTTTATTTTATCATTAATAAAAATTATAAAATTTCTTAATAAATTATAAGGATTATAATAATAAAAGTTTTTTTTATAAATAATTTAATAACATCATATTATAATTAATATAAATAAATGTAAATTTTATTATAGATTAATTATGAACTTTTTAATTTAAATTTTTTTTAAAAATTAGTTTTTAACTTAATAAATAAGTTTGTTAGAGAAACTAGAGATTTTTTTCAATTATTGAAATGCTAAACTACTAAAACTTTATCAAAATTATATTAAATTCTTATAATTACTTATGCTGAAACTATAGTATAATATTAAAATACTGAAATTATCATAATAAATACTAAAAACTATATTAAATTCTTATTAAAATTTCATTAAACTAATTGTAAAATTTTGAAAAGGTTATATGAGTATTTTATAGTAGAAAAGTATAAAATTTTTTAAAAAATTAAACTTTACTTTATAAGCAAAATATGATTATTTAGTAAAATAAGTTGAAATTTAAAATTATTGCAAATCTTTTATATTTGTAAGGTATATATATATATTTGAAAGGTTTGCTAGGAAAATAGTGCTTTAAGTATTTTTTATTAAAATTTTAATTTTTATCAAAAATTAAAATGCAATAAAAATTAAAATTTTAATAAAAAATTTTCAGAATCACATTTTTCTAGCAAACCTCCTATTTTATTGTTATATTATAATATTTTCATCTGCTATCAAAATATTATATAATTTTTTGAACATAAAAATTGTATTTCACAGATTCTGACTTATATAACTAGACAATAATATGATAGTTGATATTTGCAAAATTATTTCTCCTTTAATTAAACATAATTCTTTATTATTTTTATAAATATATTATTTATTATTAATATGACAATTAGAAAGGTTTTTATACAATTAATCCTATGAAAATTAATATTTAAAATTTGTTCTTAAAAGATCTGAATAGATATTGTATATTATGGGCCATAGTATCCCGGGTATCTTGCAAATTTTAGATGATTGACCTTGTACTACTAAGTCTATAACTTTTATAAATACAGAAATAGAATGTGTTAAAGACTTGTATAACTATCAGAAAATTATTTAATGCATAATTTCTGATTAAAATTGGATTTTAAATAATAAAACAATAGAAAATGTAATTTTTTTTGGATAAAAAAAAGGGGAATATAATATATAAGGGAAATACTATAGCCCGCAATATACGGTAATTCCAGATTTTAATATATACAAAATTTATGGTGAATCATAAAAGATTAAATGTTATCTAAAATTATACTTAAAAGATTTACATAACAAAAAAAACTAAAAATAAAACTTAGTATACTTATATATAAGTTATAAAATTCTATTATAAATAGTATTTGACTTATTCTGCAAATTTACTTTGAATGACAAAAAAGGTTTTGAATATCAATTTATATTATTTATTTTTTTTTAAAAAATACAGAATTTGTCTAAATAATTTTAATTAGAATTTTTATATTTAAAATTTATCTGATCTGACAATTAGTATATAAATGAATTCTAAAGCAAATAAAAATTCAAAACATAATTTTTGTACTAAAAAATGTAATTTATAGATATTTTCTAAATATTTTTTAGATAGATCTAAATATTTTAATAATATTTTTTGAATATTTATTTTTTATAAAACAACTTTTTATTTAAGTGTATTATCTATTTCATTAATAATTATATTATATATAAGTATTATTTATTATTTATGATATATTAAGAAATCATTTATATTATAAATTACTAGATATAAAAGTATATACTACTTTAGTTTTAATTAAAGATGAAATTGTAATTAATTTTAAAATTTTTAACTAGTTGTAACTTGAATTATAAAATATTTATGAATTTTTATATTAAAATAAATTATACAAAATGTTGTAACTAGTTATAAAGAATCCTAAACAAGATATATATATATTACATCTTTTTATTATACAGATATTATATACAAATATTATTATATTATATTAATCAAATATCAATATAAATTTTTTTTAAAAAAGTCAGTTATATCAGTAAAATTAGAGAAATCAGAAGTTTATTATTAATTATTTAGTATAATATTTGGTAAATTTATTACATTATTATTTATAAGTCACTAATATTAACATAGTAATATTAATTTTTGATATTGATAATATTTTATATCATGTAATTAGATAATCTGAAAATAAATTTCAAATTAAAATTCTAATATAGTTAAACTTCATTATAACAAATTTTTATATTCTAAATATTTTGTTATTGTTAAAGATGGGAACTGTAATTAATATGTTGCAACTTTTAATGTTGCAACTTACGTTGCAATTAGTTTTAACCAATATATGTTGCAACTTATAATGTTGCAACGTATGTTGCAACTAATTTTAGCTTATGTTGCAACATTTTGTAAATTTGAAATCAATTACTGTACCATCTTTAGTTATTGTAAATTAATAAATAACTTTTAAAAATTATTAAATAAAATAAATAAATATAATAAATTTATAAAGCTTACAAATTGAAGTTCTATACCAAGTATAATAAATGAAACTTTTATTAATAAAGTTTTTTATATAACAAACTTTTATATTAAATTTAAAAGATATAGTTAATGATACTTATCAAAATTACTTACATTTCTTAATATAATAAAACTAACGAAACTAAAATAACAAACTAAATTTTAATTGCTAAAATTATATTTAACTTTATTTAAATTCTTTGAATTAAAATATTTTAAAAAAATATAATTATTTTATATTTATATACAAAAACAAATTCTTTTGATAAAATTATTTTTTTTATAAAAATTTTAGACAAGTATTACTGGAGTTAGTGAATTTTATTTAGTATCATTATTTAGTGAATAAAATGTTAAAATTTGATAAGACATTACCAAATTTTCTTATTATAACAAATTGTAATTTTTAAAATAATAATTTATTATAAAGAAGTTTAATTGTATATTATAAGTATACAGACAAAATTTTTAATATATGTTTAGGTAATTAGATTATGAAGCTATAAAAATACTAGATAAAATTTTTTAATTAAAAAATTTTTGCTTCTAAAATAAAAATTTGGTTAGTTAGAATATAAAGTTAATTTTAAATATAAAACTAATAATACTGTGAAACTTTTAATATAATGAATTCTAAGATCTAGATCTTAACTTTATTATAAGTTTATAAAAAATTTTTTAAAGAATTTAATTAGTTAGTTCACTATAGTAAAATATATTTAATATATTTGAATTAAAATTTTGCTATATCAAAAATTCACTATATCAAAGTTTGATTATATTATTTTGTTATATCATATCACAAAAAAGTATAATTTAATATATTTAATATATTGGATTTTTTTTATAAAATGTATTAAATAAATTAAATAATAGATAGTATTTTTATATTTTTAAAATAAATAGATAATAAAATATTATGATTTTAAATAATTAGTTTATTTTTATAATAATTTATTACTTTTTTAATTTTAAAATTATTAATAAATAGCAATTTTATTTTGATTTTGCTTAAAAATATTATAAAAATAAAAATAATTTAAATTTAAAAATAAAATTATTTAAGAGATAATATCTAAAATAATTACATTAATATTACTTAATTTTATATTATTAATTAATATTTTTTTTTAATTATATTTAAATATAATAATTACTATTTTTTTTTTTAAATTAATATAAATGATATTATTTTAAACTTAAAATTTTATATATAATATAAAATATTTTTACAATAAAATGGAAAAAACTAAAATTTAAAATTTTTTTATATATTTAAATATAATTATTTTAGTACAATTAGTTTTAGATTTAATATTAATTCAAAAAATTTAAGTTTTTTTTCTTTTATTATAAAATAATATTAAAATATTAATAAAAAAATAATCTAATAGATAAAAATCTATATTATATATTTTTATAAAATTTATTTAATATAAAATAAAATTAATTTAATTTATAAAACAAAAACTTTGTATAAATTGATCATAAAATTATTAAGAAAAAGTAATAAATCATTATTAAAAATTGTTATATAAAAAAATTAAATAATTTAAATAATAAAAAAAAATATATTTATTTTATTAATAATAAATTTATATTAATTAATAATTTTTTATATTAATTTAGAAACAAATGTTTTAATTATTTTTAATAAATATATTTTATTTAAAACTAATTATATTATTAAAATATTTAAATAAAAAATTAAATAATATATTTATTAATAATAAAAGTTTAAAAAAATAATAAAATTTAATTTATTTACTAAAAATTATAAAATTTTTTATAAAATATTATATTAAAATTCAAACATAAAATTATTAATATTTAAAGTATAAGAAATAAATAATTTATAAGATCTAATATATTTATTAAAGATTAATTTGAAAATAAAAAAAACATAAATTAATCTAAAGTATATAAATACTTTATTTTTATTTATAATTAGTTAAATTTTAAAGATATTTTTTAGTTTAATGATTAAAGATGGGAACTGTAATTAATATGTTGCAACTTTTAATGTTGCAACTTACGTTGCAATTAGTTTTAACCTATATATGTTGCAACTAATTTTAGCTTATGTTGCAACATTTTGTAAATTTGAAATCAATTGCTATACCATCTTTATTAATGATAAAGTATTTATAAATAATTTTATTATAATAAATAATTTTATTTTATTATTACATTTTTTTAATTTAAGACAAGTATTTATAATATTCTCAAAATAAATATAAAATAATTAATAAATTTAAAATATTGAAAAACAGAAAATCTAATCTTAATTTTCTATCCCAAATATCTTTAATTACTGTGATGTAATGCTAGCAAATTCTTGATTAAGATCAACTTCAAAAAGATTTAAAATCACAATATAATTAATTATAAAGTAATTGTTTTTTCATATAGACTGAATCAATCAAGAAAGATCTTTTGGAATTAAAAATGAAGATGATCCTATTATGAATATTTTTCTGCATCATAGTTACCATAATATCAAGACTTAGAATCTGATTTGACTTGTCTTTTCTACTAAGAGTTAGAAATAAAGGATCTTTCTAGTGGATCACCTTCTTTCCTACAAGTTAAAATTATTTTCAAAAAAAAAGATCAATTTTTTAAAAAATTTAAAGTTATTCCATACCTGAGTAGTGACAATTCGATAAATAAGTCAAGGGTAGCATTCTTTATTTAAATTTTCTGCATATTAAGACCATATTCAAGCGCTATTGAACTTTTGTTGGAATAAATTTTCATCAATAAAACAAAAAATTGCGATAAGTAAAAATCCAATAAAATATTAACACAATTTTTTATAATTACCTCTACTAACGATGTCTAACGATGGCAGCCATTTGCTAATGAAACATGAAAATATTTCTAACTTTCTTCTTTTTTTGTAAATATTTCATTCAATAAAACCTCTCACTAAAAATATGGCAGAAATCATATTAATTGATTGCGTATCAACTTAAGAATTTTTAATTACAGAATTAAAATATTCTTTAAATATCTACAATTGTATGATCTATTCGTCTACTTTCAATTTATCTAATCTTGACCTGATAATAATTTATTATATAATAGAACAAATTGTCCAAGTCCATATTAAAAGTTTTGTAATCCTTTCGATGTTCTGTAAATAATAATTTTGACTTTCTTTACAGAATTCTTGAACAATATATTACAGTTATCCATAATAATTTTCTTGAAATATTTACATTATAAATGGTCTAACTTTCTTCTCTAGAAATACAGGGAATCATTTATCAACATAAATTCCTACGCAAAATTCACCCATTTGAATTGTTTTTCATCGTGTGGTTAAATCTACTGTGCCACCCGCAAATAAGGTTGCTAATTAAATAGAGAAAATTGTTTATTCGTATCTATCATCTTTTGATTTATTATTAAATATGAACTTTATATAATAATTAAAATTCTTTCAAAAAAAATCAATAAAAAATTCCTTATTCCTTTTTTTTGTCTTTCATATTTAAAATATTCATCCGTATGATTATGTTATAACGGTATAATTTTTGAAGATGTAATGATAATCACATTACTGATCATATATAAACCATATATTTCCATAATTAGTGAAGATCATGAAGATCCTTGAATCCCACAATTTCACATTTTTACATTTTTAATATAAATAAGAATAGAATCCATTTGTTTGTTCCTTAGTTTGCATTCACTTTTGTGAGTGTTTAAGCTCCCTCTTGTGGAGGGAGGCGATGGTTATAGGTAGACTCTTTCACCATGTCTTCGGATAGGTAGACGGATTCACCATGTAGTCTAGTCTTCCTTTATGAGTGTGTAAACTTATAAATTATAGCGGGTGGTGTGATAAGAGGGATAGTTTTGGTATCAAATAATCATTTGTAATTAATCGGATCAATTATTATCATGATGATCAAACGGAAAAAATTGTGTGATATTTTTTTTTTAATAAATGAAAAAAATTTATTTCACCAATTTTTGTTAGTTCATTAGTGAAAGATAATAAACTTTTTAAATAATATTAAGCAAAATGATTTCAATGTTTGTTTTTCGGCATGTCTCTTTACGTTATCAAAGAAACAAAAAATTTCACGTTTTTTACACGAGATTCGAAGTCGGGCTATCATTATTTTTCCAGGAGATGCATTCTTCGAAAAAAAATAATTGTTTTTGCACCAAATTTTTATTCCAATTACTTTTTGTCATGTGCGTTTATTCTAAGACTACATTTTTAAAAGATACTTGTTCTTATTGTTTTATTAAAATGAATATAATAGTTCATTGATAAAATTTACAAATAGTTGAACATTATAATTGTAATTGCAAAATAAATCTCTCATCATTGTCGTTAGGTGTGGATGTTTCATAGAATCATAAACAGTATATTAATTGAATTAATAAATTATATTGTCGCTTCATTTGTTGAAATTTTTACTATGATTTTCTCTACCATTTAATAAAAAGTTTCATCGATAACAGTATACTTTCGTAATTCCAATGTTAATTTCTTTTTTAATCTTTTTTTAATTAAAAAAAAATTAAATTTATTAAAAAAAAAATGCCAATATTATTTTAAAGATTGACAAAGAATATTGAACTTTAATGCCTAAATTTATAAGGATACCGTAGCATCTGAAAAAAGTGATAACATGAAAATTATTTTCACTATTTTCCTGTCTTCAGCATCCTATTGCAAAGTGTTTGTTATAGAATTTTTACGAACTTCAGGATACCAAATCAGATGTAAATGATTTTGAGATTCACCTGCATTTTATCAGCAGATTTTTGTAGAAGATCGTGTATACCAGCAACTCCTCGTGCACCACATTCCTTTGCAAGAAGTTGAAGGCTAATGATTTCCGATAGTAATAATGCCTCTAAGAAAGATTCCGCTGATTTACTGATATATTCCCTCTCTTCTTGAATAGCACTTCTTGTCATACTCATCAAACGACCGATCTCATCAGTTGAGAAGAAATCTTTAGCACGAGGGAGGTTAGGACTCGGAAATACATTCTTCTCGCGGAAATCTACCCCACCAGAGTGGGCTACAATAGAAAAAAGGTGGGAACATCGAATAGGTAAGCATAGTAGAAATAACTTACTCCGTGTGGACAGATTCATTATCTTCTTGTATAGACTTGACGGCGTTAACGGCAGTAGTATATTCATCGAATGAGACATTAAACGTAAAATCTGTTTTGACCTGCGACATATTAAAACAAATGAATTAACAAAGGGCATAATACACGTATCAGTATGAAACAATGAGACAAGGATAGAAATAGTCCTAGCCTGACCTTATTGTTGGGGTCTGGTGTGTGTAAATGATCCAAACTTTTACTCATATTTCTAATACTCATCATCGGAATTTGATTCACAAGGCTCTTTATGATCTTGAGAATCTTCCATGTGGTCCTGGATGTTGAGAAGAAAAGTAAATTTACTACATAAAGAAAACGGAAATATAAAATTAATTTTTGAATACTTACATGATTTCGCTTATCGGCATGGCCCATTACAAATAACCTTAACTTATCGGATAAAAACGTTCTTGCATCTCTTGAATCTTTAATGGAATCATCTATTACGTCATTAATGTATCCTAACTATATTATAAACAAGTAAGTTTTCTATGTATATAAACAACAGCAAAACGCAATATACAAACCGATCCCTTTTTCGATCTAGTCTTCATAACGATTCTTTTCGATCATTATCCAAAAATCGAGGACGCCTCTGGAAGACTTCTCGTTCTTTGTGTTAAAAAGAAAACAGACATTATTGTAAGATTAGATATCATTTTTTGAGACTATCATATAGCACGTATAACCAACAAAATAAAGGTTAAGATGAGTGAACCATAGCTTGGTGTAACAACCAGTTGGTACGTAGGCATCCGGTTGCGTAATACACAGTGAAATTCGATATAATGGAACCATCCGTTCCATTAGTGAAAATTTTCAAAAATCCATTATATCGAGAGTTCCAGTATATCGAGAGTAGATTATTATAGATAATAATAATGTGTTCCAAACTAAAATTCCGCTATATCAAGATTTTACTTCTATTCCGTTATATCGGGGTTCCGTTATATCGAATTTCACTGTGTAGCTAGCTACTCGGGGTTTGTCAATAAAATGTCTCGGGAACGGAACGTATTCTAGTCCTTGAACTCAATCATCTCACTCAGTGGCAACAAACATATACTTAACTTCAAAACCTGAAAGATAATCTCGAGCTTTTTTGTACAAACCATGCTCCTTCTCTTATCATGCGTAAAATAGCTAGTTTCTGCTCTAAATTTCAAAACCCAAGCAACGACCAGTTTGTATTTTTTTTGAAGAACTTTTCTATTGTTTCTTGAACTTGTAATATTAGTAAAGTTTCGTCTGACATTTCTTCCACAGGAGCAGTTGTACGCAGAAACGTGAGATAGAGGTAGTAAATGTGAGTCGATTTTTGAGTCAATTTATACAGTTCTGCCAGTTAATCAGAACTTGAGTGGTAAATTAGTAAACATATTAGATCATTAATAGCGTCGCCCGGAAAAAATGGTAGGCGGATTTATTTGCCAGTTAGGTTAGGATTAGAGTTAGTATTAGGGTTAGTATTAGGGTAAGGGTAAGGGGATTAGGGTTGGATATCACACGGCATCCTCAATTTTATAATTATTTTGAGGAAATATGTTAATTGTTAGTTTATGTGAACTGGCAAAATAAATCCGGCTAACATTTTTTCATAAAAATAGATTTATCACGTGAAATTCGTACCCAAAATTTCTTTACCACAAAATATATATTCATTTTTTTAAATAGTTATTTTTTTTTGTAAATTTGCTTTTTGTAGGTTCCGTTATTTTTTTTGTAGGTTTACTTTTTGTATATTCCGTCATTTTTGCTTTTGGTTCAGTTAATTTAATAACTAGTTAATTATAATATTTGCATTATATTAAATAAAATGATCCTAGATTTATTGTAGCATAGTATATAAAAAAAGCGAAGAATATTACATATCAGAACTGCATTTGTGGTTAATAATAAAGGAAATGGTTATTGTAAATTGTGTATTTTGATTGATTGACGAGTTCATATCTGTTGCTTGTCTTTTAGATAAATGCTTACGTGGAACAGACTGGTCTTGATCTTACAGTTCCAGAAAGAAGGTTAACAGCATTTTTTGCAATAATGGGAATTAATATAAAATTTCACATTTATACTGCTTATAATATGATGACAAAATATATATATATAGTTTTTTATTGCGGTAAAATATGAATTTTCATGTATCAATTTTTTATATTCAAGGATCTCGATTTTCATTATTGAACTGTGGACGATCAAGGACCGATGATGAATTTTGTTTCCCGCTTTTATTTCAACAAGATTTTGATCAATAATTCGAATATTTATAATTGGATTTAATACGGAATCGTTGTTGCTTTGTAACATATACTCAAAGTTTCACGTGCAAAGAAGATTCTGTAGAAATCAGCCAGGAAAACTTGAGCTTGTGTAGCAAGTATATCAGCAATAAGATATTTAATAAAACTAAATTTTTTTTCTCAAACTAACAAATTTTTCCTTTGATAAAGGAAAATCTATAATGATTTCTTTGTCTGAAAAAATGCCGTTTGCTTGGAACAAAGGTCACAGGGATATGAAGATATTTTTTGAGCAGAATCATATAAATACTCGTTTGTAAAGCTTCGAAAAATATATTGCTTATAATATTATCATTAAATAGAATTGCAAATGATACGTACCCAGATTATATAATTCGTATTAATACATTTTCAGTAGCGCATAAAGAAAAATTAAGCTTAAATTAAACGATTCTTTGCTTAATTGAATAATAAAAATTATTATAAATAGATTAGAAGAATCGATTAATCAAAACTGAAAATCGATTCCAATCCCTAGTTCGCTTTATTTAATATTTGTCTATCTTAGTTTTTGGACCGGTCCATTCCCTTACAAGTAAAGTACAATGCTCAGAAGGCAAATTTCACATCACAATATAAAAAGAACAATTCATCCCTGTTGAACTAAGATTTTAACTCGACCATTGTTAGACTAAGTTCTTTAAGTTTGTTTTTATTAAGTTTATTAAGGTAGAAAGAACAAAACATAAGTTATGGGAAATAGTATTAAAAACGCAAAAGAGATACATGTTAGTTACTATTATTATATATAGACGATGTCGTTAATAAAAGTCTTTTATCCCTTAGATTGTAGGGTTTCGCAGGCAAATTTGCCTGCTTATTTACTATAAATTCTCTTCTGATTTACTTTTATAAATAATTAATATTTTTAAAAAAATTTTTTTTTAAATTTAATATATAAATATGTAATATATTATAATAAGTTTTATCTTTTAATTATATAACAAAAAATGTAATGTTACTTAAAAGCTAAAAATTTGTAATTTTTAAAAAAAAATTATTTTAAAAATTTCATAATTAATCTATGATAAACTTTTTAGAATTTACTTTTAATTATATTAATCATAATAGAATATTATAAAATTATTTATAAAGAAAAA